AAATCTCGACCATGCAGGCAAAGACATTCAAATGGAAAATGATATAAAAATGTACCTGAAAAATACATCATGTAACAACCAAAGTAAAATCCATCACGTGTACCACCCAGACAACCTGTTGTACCTGACGATGTTGTCCCGCTTGTTGTTGTTCCACTAGTTGTAGTTGTACCACTACTTGTTGTTGTACCACTAGTTGTAGTTGTGCCACTGGTTGTTGTACCACTGGTTGTAGTTGTGCCACTGGTTGTTGTACCACTAGTTGTTGTTGTTCCACTGGTTGTTGTACCACTAGTTGTAGTTGTGCCACTGGTCGTTGTACCACTAGTTGTAGTTGTGCCACTGGTTGTTGTACCACTAGTTGTTGTTGTGCCACTGGTTGTTCTTCCGCTTGTTGTAGTTGTGCCACTGGTTGTTGTTCCGCTGGTTGTTGTACCACTGGTTGTTGTTCCGCTAGTTGTAGTTGTGCCACTAGTTGTTGTACCACTAGTTGTAGTTGTGCCACTGGTTGTCGTACCACTAGTTGTTGTTGTGCCACTGGTTGTTGTTCCGCTGGTTGTTGTACCACTGGTTGTTCCGCTAGTTGTAGTTGTGCCACTGGTTGTTGTACCACTAGTTGTTGTTGTGCCACTGGTTGTTGTTCCGCTTGTTGTAGTTGTGCCACTGGTTGTTGTTCCGCTGGTTGTTGTACCACTGGTTGTTGTTCCGCTAGTTGTAGTTGTGCCACTAGTTGTTGTACCACTAGTTGTAGTTGTGCCACTGGTTGTTGTACCACTAGTTGTTGTTGTGCCACTGGTTGTTGTTCCGCTGGTTGTTGTACCACTGGTTGTTGTTCGGCTAGTTGTAGTTGTGCCACTAGTTGTTGTACCACTGGTTGTAGTTGTGCCACTGGTTGTTGTTCCGCTGGTTGTTGTACCACTGGTTGTTGTACCACTAGTTGTTGTACCACTAGTTGTAGTTGTGCCACTGGTTGTTGTACCACTAGTTGTTGTACCACTAGTTGTTGTACCACTAGTTGTAGTTGTGCCACTAGTTGTTGTACCACTGGTTGTAGTTGTGCCTCTGGTTGTTGTTGTTCCACTGGTTGTTGTACCACTAGTCGTAGTTGTGCCACTGGTCGTTGTACCACTGGTTGTAGTTGTGCCGCTAGTTGTTGTACCACTTGTTGTAGTTGTGCCACTGGTTGTTTTACCACTAGTTGTTGTACCACTGGCTGTTGTACCACTAGTTGTTGTACCACTAGTTGTAGTTGTGCCACTGGTTGTTGTACCAGTAGTCGTAGTTGTGCCACTGGTTGTTGTACCAGTAGTTGTGGTTGTGCCACTGGTTGTTGTTCCACTGGTTGTTGTGCCACTAGTCGTAGTTGTTCCACTAGATGTTGTACCACTAGTGGTAGTTGTGCCACTGGTTGTTGTACCACGGGCTAGTTGTAGTTGTGCCACTGGTTGTTGTACCCCTGGTTGTTGTACCACTAGTTGTAGTTGTGCCACTGGTTGTTGTACCACTAGTTGTAGTTGTGCCACTGGTTGTTGTGCCACTAGTCGTAGTTGTGCCACTAGTTAGTTGTACCACTAGTTGCAGTTGTACCACTGCTTGTTGTACCACTAGTTGTAGTTGTGCCACTGGTTGTACCACTAGTTGTTGTTTCACTAGTTGTAGTTGTGCCTCTGGTGGTTGTGCCACTGGTTGTTCTACCACTAGTCGTAGTTGTGCCACTGGTTGTTGTACCACTAGTTGTAGTTGTGCCGCTAGTGGTTGTTCCACTTGTTGTTGTACCACTACTTGTAGTTGTACCACTAGTAGTTCTGCCACTGGTTGTTGTACCACTGATTGTTGTTCCACTGGTTGTTGTGCCACTAGTCGTAGTTGTGCCACGGGTTGTTGTACCACTAGTTGTAGTTATGCCACTTGTTGTTGTACCACTAGTGGTAGGTGTGCCACTAGTTGTTGTACCACGTGTTGTTGTACCACTAATTGTAGTTGTGCCACTGGTTGTTGTGCCACTGGTTGTTGTACCACTAGTTGTAGTTGTGCCACTGGTTGTTGTACCACTAGTTGTTGTTGTACCACTAGTTGTTGTTGTACCACTAGTTGTAGTTGTGCCACTGGTTGTTGTACCACTAGTTGTAGTTGTGCCACTGGTTGTTGTACCACTAGTTGTTGTTGTTCCACTGGTTGTTGTTCCGCTAGTTGTAGTTGTGCCACTAGTTGTTGTACCACTAGTTGTAGTTGTGCCACTGGTCGTTGTACCACTAGTTGTAGTTGTGCCACTGGTTGTTGTACCACTAGTTGTTCTTGTACCACTGGTTGTTGTTCCGCTAGTTGTAGTTGTGCCACTAGTTGTTGTACCACTGTTGTAGTTGTGCCACTGGTTGTTGTTCCGCTTGTTGTAGTTGTGCCACTGGTTGTTGTTCCGCTGGTTGTCGTACCACTGGTTGTTGTTCCGCTAGTTGTAGTTGTGCCACTGGTTGTTGTACCACTAGTTGTAGTTGTGCCACTGGTTTTTGTACCACTAGTTGTTGTTGTGCCACTGGTTGTTGTTCCACTAGTTGTTGTTGTGCCACTGGTTGTTGTTCCGCTGGTTGTTGTACCACTGGTTGTTGTTCCACTAGTTGTAGTTGTGCCACTAGTTGTTGTACCACTGGTTGTAGTTGTGCCACTGGTTGTTGTTCCACTGGTTGTTGTTGTTCCGCTAGTTGTAGTTGTGCCACTAGTTGTTGTACCACTGGTTGTAGTTGTGCCACTGGTTGTTTGTTCCACTGGTTGTTGTACCACTGGTTGTTGTACCACTGGTTGTTGTACCACTGGTTGTAGTTGTGCCGCTAGTTGTTGTACCACTAGTTGTAGTTGTGCCACTGGTTGTTGTACCACTGGTTGTTGTTGTACCACTGGTTGTTTGTACCACTAGTTGTTGTACCACTGGTTGTTGTTGTAGTTGTGCCACTGGTTGTTGTACCACTAGTCGTAGTTGTGCCACTGGTTGTTGTACCAGTAGTTGTTGTTGTGCCACTGGTTGTTGTTCCACTGGTTGTTGTGCCACTAGTTGTAGTTGTTCCACTGGTGGTTGTACCACTAGTCGTAGTTGTGCCACTGGTTGTAGTACCACTGGTTGTTGTACCACTAGTGGTAGTTATGCCACTGGTTGTTGTACCACTAGTGGTAGTTGTGCCACTGGTTGTTGTACCACTAGTTGTAGTACCACTAGTTGTAGTTGTGCCACTGGTTGTTGTACCACTAGTTGTTGTTCCACTAGTTGTAGTTGTGCCTCTGGTGGTTGTGCCACTGGTTGTTGTACCACTAGTCGTAGTTGTGCCACGGGTTGTTGTACCACTAGTTGTAGTTGTGCCGCTAGTGGTTGTTCCACTTGTTGTTGTACCACTACTTGTAGTTGTACCACTAGTAGTTGTGCCACTGGTTGTTGTACCACTGATTGTTGTTCCACTGGTTGTTGTGCCACTAGTCGTAGTTGTGCCACGGGTTGTTGTACCACTAGTTGTAGTTATGCCACTTGTTGTTGTACCACTAGTGGTAGGTGTGCCACTAGTTGTTGTACCACGTGTTGTTGTACCACTAATTGTAGTTGTGCCACTGGTTGTTGTGCCACTGGTTGTTGTACCACTAGTTGTAGTTGTACCACTGGTTGTTGTACCACTAGTTGTAGTTGTGCCACTGGCTGTTGTTCCTAAAATTTGCACGGTTATCAATTGGTGATATATTTGTGAATACTCTTTCTTCTGTCCTCATGTATGCCATTCTTTAAAGAGGGCATTCGTTTGTTGCCAAACTGTTCCAGCATCATAGTAGATACATTCAATCGTTATACTGTATACTGGGCAACCATAACACTTATTAATAGAACCTTCTCAAAAGACCGAACAGAATTATCTTCAAGAACACATCGCTTCTTCCCCCCATAAAACATCCGACCATGGAAACAAATAACCAAAAAAGGGGAAAAGATCAGAGAATGTACCTGGGAAAAACATCATGTAACCAACAAATAGAAACCCATCACTTATACAACCTAAAACTTCTTGTACCTGAGGATGTTGTCCCGCTTGTCGTCGTGCCACTGGTTGTTGTACCACTGGTTGTAGTTGTGCCACTAGTTGTAGTACCGCTGGTTGTAGTTGTGCCACTGGTTGTTGTACCACTTGTTGTTGTTCCACTGGTTGTAGTTGTGCCACTGGTTGTTGTACCGCTGGTTGTAGTTGTGCCACTAGTTGTAGTACCGCTGGTTGTAGTTGTGCCACTGGTTGTTGTACCACTGGTTGTTGTACCACTGGTTGTAGTTGTGCCACTGGTTGTTGTACCGCTTGTTGTAGTTGTGCCACTGGTCGTTGTACCACTGGTTGTAGTTGTGCCACTGGTTGTTGTACCACTTGTTGTTGTTCCACTGGTTGTAGTTGTGCCACTGGTTGTTGTACCGCTGGTTGTAGTTGTGCCACTAGTTGTAGTACCGCTGGTTGTAGTTGTGCCACTGGTTGTTGTACCACTTGTTGTTGTTCCACTGGTTGTAGTTGTGCCACTGGTTGTTGTACCACTAGTTGTAGTTGTGCCACTGGTTGTTGTACCACTAGTTGTAGTTGTGCCACTGGTTGTTGTACCACTAGTTGTTGTACCACTGGTTGTTGTACCACTGGTTGTAGTTGTGCCACTGGTCGTTGTTCCGCTGGTTGTAGTTGTGCCACTAGTTGTAGTACCGCTGGTTGTAGTTGTGCCACTGGTTGTTGAACCACTTGTTGTTGTTCCACTAGTTGTAGTTGTGCCACTGGTCGTTGTACCACTAGTTGTAGTTGTGCCACTGGTTGTTGTACCACTAGTTGTAGTTGTGCCACTGGTTGTTGTACCACTAGTTGTTGTACCACTGGTTGTTGTACCACTGGTTGTAGTTGTGCCACTAGTTGTTGTACCGCTTGTTGTAGTTGTGCCACTGGTCGTTGTACCACTAGTTGTAGTTGTGCCACTGGTTGTTGTACCACTAGTTGTTGTACCACTAGTTGTTGTACCACTGGTTGTAGTTGTGCCACTGGTCGTTGTACCGCTGGTTGTAGTTGTGCCACTAGTTGTAGTACCGCTGGTTGTTGTTGTGCCACTGGTTGTTGAACCACTTGTTGTTGTTCCACTAGTTGTAGTTGTGCCACTGGTCGTTGTACCACTAGTTGTAGTTGTGCCACTGGTCGTTGTACCTCTGGTTGTAGTTGTGCCACTAGTTGTAGTACCGCTGGTTGTAGTTGTGCCACTGGTTGTTGAACCACTTGTTCTTGTTCCACTAGTTGTAGTTGTGCCACTGGTCGTTGTACCACTAGTTGTAGTTGTGCCACTGGTTGTTGTACCACTAGTTGTAGTTGTGCCACTGGTTGTTGTACCACTAGTTGTTGTACCACTGGTTGTTGTACCACTGGTTGTAGTTGTGCCACTAGTTGTTGTACCGCTTGTTGTAGTTGTGCCACTGGTCGTTGTACCACTAGTTGTAGTTGTTCCGCTTGTTGTTGTACCACTAGTTGTTGTTCCTAAAATCATGAGTTACCAATTGATAATTTATATTATCATGAGTTATCAATTGATAATTTATATTAGTATTTCCTTGTTCCCTTACTTTTTAGTACGGAAGGCTCGTTGATTCCATAATGGAAAATGGGCATTCATTAGCTTCCACGTGTTCCAGCAATATAGTACATGGTTTTCAATCCCTACACTTTACACTTGGCAACCATACTTCTTGAAGTCGCATGGAATGTAACAAGATCAAAGATTAAATGGTCTTCATTCACTGAGTTGAGAAACCTCCACGATAACATAGGGCAGTGCGTCGCGGCGTCAAACAATTAAACCAATATTGTGTGTAGACGTTATGCACATGTCCATGACAGCTACCATCCTATAACATGGCATCTAACGTTTAAGAATAGAGCCCATGCCCATGATCATCCAAAGAATTCATGCTGTCTCTGATGGTTCACGTATCTTTCAATGTCAAGAAACAACGTTATTCGTAGGATGATTCTAAGGTCTTATCTCACAGAGTATGTGGTAACAAAGACCACGCTGTTGTGCTAGGGTTTAACATTCATATCATTTCAACGTGAAGAGAACATTAGTTGTACATCCCTGCATGATACTTCACTCTATGGCTTCCTGTCCCCTAAAACATGACATACTCACCCTTTCCGCCAGTACAAGAAAACTCATTTCAATCACTTCTTTAATTAACAAATACACGTCATAATATTAAAAGACAATAAATACAGGAATCTTAAACGTCGTTAAAATCATGTCACGTTGTTTACACATATCTCAGGATGTAAGATCAACATATTGTGCTCATTCAGTGAAGTGTTCTCGTTCCTGTTTATGATGCAGTGACTTGCTCCTACTCTTTTATTACTACAATTGACCCTAACACTTATAAATAAAACCTTCTGAAAACACCGCACAACAATATGTTTAGATCTTCAAGAAAAGGCTCTTCCTTTCGCCGATAAAACATCGGACCATGGAGACAAATCAAGAAAAAGGTCAAACAATCAGAGAATAAACCTGGAAAATACATCATGAAATCAACAAAATAAAATGTACTTGTAGTACCGCTGGTTGTAGTTGTGCCACTGGTTGTTGTACCACTTGTTGTTCCACTGGTTGTAGTTGTGCCACTGGTTGTTGTACCACTAGTTGTAGTTGTGCCACTGGTTGTTGTACCACTAGTTGTAGTTGTGCCACTGGTTGTTGTACCACTAGTTGTTGTACCACTGGTTGTTGTACCACTGGTTGTAGTTGTGCCACTAGTTGTTGTACCGCTTGTTGTAGTTGTGCCACTGGTCGTTGTACCACTAGTTGTAGTTGTGCCACTGGTTGTTGTACCACTAGTTGTTGTACCACTGGTTGTAGTTGTGCCACTGGTCGTTGTACCTCTGGTTGTAGTTGTGCCACTAGTTGTAGTACCGCTGGTTGTAGTTGTGCCACTGGTTGTTGAACCACTTGTTGTTGTTCCACTAGTTGTAGTTGTGCCACTGGTCGTTGTACCACTAGTTGTAGTTGTTCCGCTTGTTGTTGTACCACTAGTTGTTGTTCCTAAAATCATGAGTTACCAATTGATAATTTATATTATCATGAATTATCAATTGATAATTTATATTAGTATTTCCTTGTTCCCTTACTTTTTAGTATGGAAGGCTCGTTGATTCCATAATGGAAAATGGGCATTCATTAGCTTCCACGTGTTCCAGCAATATAGTACATGGTTTTCAATCCCTACACTTTACACTTGGCAACCATACTTCTTGAAGTCGCATGGAATGTAACAAGATCAAAGATTAAATGGTCTTCATTCACTGAGTTGAGAAACCTCCACGATAACATAGGGCAGTGCGTCGCGGCGTCAAACAATTAAACCAATATTGTGTGTAGACGTTATGCACATGTCCATGACAGCTACCATCCTATAACATGGCATCTAACGTTTAAGAATAGAGCCCATGCCCATGATCATCCAAAGAATTCATGCTGTCTCTGATGGTGCACGTATCTTTCAATGTCAAGAAACAACGTTATTCGTAGGATGATTCTAAGGTCTTATCTCATAGAGTATGTGGTAACAAAGACCACGCTGTTGTGCTAGGGTTTAACATTCATATCATTTCAACGTGAAGAGAGCATTAGTTGTACATCCCTGCATGATACTTCACTCTATGGCTTCCTGTCCCCTAAAACATGACATACTCACCCTTTCCGCCAGTACAAGAAAACTCATTTCAATCACTTCTTTAATTAACAAATACACGTGCTAATATTAAAAGACAATACATACAGGAATCTTAAACGTCGTTAAAATCATGTCACGTTGTTTACACATATCTCAGGATGTAAGATCAACATATTGTGCTCATTCAGTGAAGTGTTCTCGTTCCTGTTTATGATGCAGTGACTTGCTCCTACTCTTTTATTACTACAATTGACCCTAACACTTATAAATAAAACCTTCTGAAAACACCGCACAACAATATGTTTAGATCTTCAAGAAAAGGCTCTTCCTTTCGCCGATAAAACATCGGACCATGGAGACAAATCAAGAAAAAGGTCAAACAATCAGAGAATAAACCTGGAAAATACATCATGAAATCAACAAAATAAAATGTACTTGTAGTACCGCTGGTTGTAGTTGTGCCACTGGTTGTTGTACCACTTGTTGTTCCACTGGTTGTAGTTGTGCCACTGGTTGTTGTACCACTAGTTGTAGTTGTGCCACTGGTTGTTGTACCACTAGTTGTTGTACCACTGGTTGTTGTACCACTGGTTGTAGTTGTGCCACTAGTTGTTGTACCGCTTGTTGTAGTTGTGCCACTGGTCGTTGTACCACTAGTTGTAGTTGTGCCACTGGTTGTTGTACCACTAGTTGTTGTACCACTGGTTGTAGTTGTGCCACTGGTCGTTGTACCGCTGGTTGTAGTTGTGCCACTAGTTGTAGTACCGCTGGTTGTAGTTGTGCCACTGGTTGTTGAACCACTTGTTGTTGTTCCACTAGTTGTAGTTGTGCCACTGGTCGTTGTACCACTAGTTGTTGTTCCTAAAATCATGAGTTACCAATTGATAATTTATATTATCATGAATTATCAATTGATAATTTATATTAGTATTTCCTTGTTCCCTTACTTTTTAGTATGGAAGGCTCGTTGATTCCATAATGGAAAATGGGCATTCATTAGCTTCCACGTGTTCCAGCAATATAGTACATGGTTTTCAATCCCTACACTTTACACTTGGCAACCATACTTCTTGAAGTCGCATGGAATGTAACAAGATCAAAGATTAAATGGTCTTCATTCACTGAGTTGAGAAACCTCCACGATAACATAGGGCAGTGCGTCGCGGCGTCAAACAATTAAACCAATATTGTGTGTAGACGTTATGCACATGTCCATGACAGCTACCATCCTATAACATGGCATCTAACGTTTAAGAATAGAGCCCATGCCCATGATCATCCAAAGAATTCATGCTGTCTCTGATGGTACACGTATCTTTCAATGTCAAGAAACAACGTTATTCGTAGGATGATTCTAAGGTCTTATCTCATAGAGTATGTGGTAACAAAGACCACGCTGTTGTGCTAGGGTTTAACATTCATATCATTTCAACGTGAAGAGAGCATTAGTTGTACATCCCTGCATGATACTTCACTCTATGGCTTCCTGTCCCCTAAAACATGACATACTCACCCTTTCCGCCAGTACAAGAAAACTCATTTCAATCACTTCTTTAATTAACAAATACACGTGCTAATATTAAAAGACAATACATACAGGAATCTTAAACGTCGTTAAAATCATGTCACGTTGTTTACACATATCTCAGGATGTAAGATCAACATATTGTGCTCATTCAGTGAAGTGTTCTCGTTCCTGTTTATGATGCAGTGACTTGCTCCTACTCTTTTATTACTACAATTGACCCTAACACTTATAAATAAAACCTTCTGAAAACACCGCACAACAATATGTTTAGATCTTCAAGAAAAGGCTCTTCCTTTCGCCGATAAAACATCGGACCATGGAGACAAATCAAGAAAAAGGTCCAACTAACAGAGTATAAACCTGGAAAATACATCATGAAATCAACAAAATAAAATGTACTTGTAGTACCGCTGGTTGTAGTTGTGCCACTGGTTGTAGTACCACCTGTTGTTGTACCACTTGTTGTTGTTCCACTGGTTGTAGTTGTGCCACTGGTAGTTGTACCACTAGTTGTAGTTGTGCCACTAGTTGTTGTACCACTAGTTATGGTTGTGCCACTTGTTGTTGTACCGCTTGTTCTAGTTGTGCCACTGATTGTTGTACCGCTGGTTGTAGTTGTGCCACTGCTTGTTGTACCACTAGGTGTTGTTGTACCACTGGTTGTTGTACCACTAGTTGTTGTACCACTGGTTGTTGTACCACTAGTTGTAGTTGTGCCACTGGTCGTTGTACCACTAGTTGTAGTTGTGCCACTGGGTGTGGTACCACTAGTTGTAGTTGTGCCACTTGTTGCTGTAGATGTGCCACTGGTTGTTGAACCACTAGTTGTAGTTGTGCCACTGGTTGTTGTACCACTAGTTGTTGTTCCACTAGTTGTTGTACCACTGGTTGTTGTACCACTAGTTGTTGTACCACTGGTTGTTGTACCACTACTTGTACTTGTGCCACTGGTCGTTGTACCACTAGTTGTAGTTGTGCCACGTGTCGTTGTACCACTGGTTGTAGTTGTGCCAGTTCCTGTCGTTCCACTGGTTGTAGTTGTGCCACTGGTCGTAGAACCACTAGTTGTGGTTGTGCCACTGGTTGTTGTGCCACTAGTTGTAATTGTGCCACTGGTCGTTGTACCACTAGTTGTAGTTGTGCCACTTGTTGTTGTTCCACTGGTTGTAGTTGTGCCACTGGTTGTTGTACCACTAGTTGTAGTTGTGCCACTGGTTGTTGTCACCAGTTGTAATCGAAGTTGTAGTTGTACCACTGGTTGTTGTACCACTAGTTGTAGTTGTGCCACTGGTCGTTGTACCACTAGTTGTAGTTGTGCCACTGGTCGTTGTACCACTAGTTGTAGTTGTGCCACTGGTTGTTGTTCCACTGGTTGTAGCAGTGGCACTGGACGTTGTACCACTGGTTGTTGTTGCACTGGTTGTAGTTGTGCCACTGGTTGTTGTACCACTCGTTGCAGTTGTGCCACTGGTTGTTGTACCACTAGTTGTAGTTGTGCCACTGGTTGTTGTACCACTAGTTGTAGTTGTGCCACTGGTTGTTTTACCACTAGTTGTTGTACCACTCGTTGTTGTACCACTAGTTCTAGTTGTGCCACTGGTCGTTGTACCACTAGTTGTAGTTGTGCCACTGGTCGTTGTACCACTTGTTGTCGTTGTGCCACTTCTTGTTGTTCCACTGGTTGTAGTTGTGCCACTGGTTGTTGTACCACTAGTTGTAGTTGTGCCACTGGTCGTTGTACCACTGGTTGTAGTTGTGCCACTGGTCGTTGTACCACTGGTTGTAGTTGTGCCACTTGTTGTTGTTCCACTGGTTGTAGTTGTGCCACTGGTTGTTGTACCACTAGTTGTGGTTGTGCCACTGGTTGTTGTGCCACTAGTTGTAATCGTGCCACTGGTCGTTGTACCACTGGTTGTAGTTGTGCCACTTGTTGTTGTTCCACTGGTTGTAGTTGTGCCACTGGTTGTTGTACCACTAGTTGTAGTTGTGCCACTGGTTGTTGTACCACTAGTTGTAGTTGTGCCACTGGTTGTTGTACCACTAGTTGTAGTTGTGCCACTGGCCACTGGTTGTGTACCACTAGTTGTTGTACCACTTGGTTGTTGTACCACTGGTTGTAGTTCTGTGCCACTGGTTGTGTTGTACCACTTGTTTGTTGTACCACTGTACCACTGGTTGTGTAGTTGTAGTTGTGCCACTGGTTGTTGTACCACTTAGTTGTAGTTGTGCCACTGGTTGTTGTACCACTAGTTGTAGTTGTGCCACTGGTTGTTGTACCACTAGGTTGTAGTTGTGCCACTGGTTGTTGTACCACTAGTTGTAGTTGTGCCACTGGTTGTTGTACCACTGGTTGTTGTACCACTGGTTGTAGTTGTGCCACTGGTTGTTGTACCACTAGTTGTAGTTGTACCACTGGTTGTTGTACCACTAGTTGTAGTTGTGCCACTGGTCGTTGTACCACTAGTTGTAGTTGTGCCACTTGGTTGTTGTACCAGTTGTAGTTGTGCCACTTGGTTGTTGTACCACTAGTTGTAGTTGTGCCACTGGTTGTTGTACCACTAGTTGTAGTTGTGCCACTGGTCGTTGCACCACTAGTTGTAGTTGTGCCATTGGTTGTTGTACCACTAGTTGTAGCCACTTTGTTTGTACCACTGGCTGGTTACCACTGGTTTCAGTGGTTGTTGTACCACTAGTTGTAGTTTGTTGTGTTGTGCCACTGGTTGTTGCCAATTAGTTGTAGTTGTGCCACTGGTTGTTGTTGTTGTTGTGCCAGTTGTGCCACTGGTGTTGTACCACTAGTTGTAGTTGTGCCACTGGTTGTTGTACCACTAGCTGTAGTTGTGCCAACTTGTTGTTGTACCACTGGTTGTAGTTGTGCCACTGGTTGTTGTACCACCAGTTGTTGTTGTGCCACTGGTTGTTGTACCACCAGTTTCCACTAGTTGTGCCACTGGTTGTTGTACCACCAGTTGTAGTTGTGCCACTGGTTGTACCACTGGTTGTTGTTGTGCCACTGTTGTTCCACTGGTTGTAGTTGTGCCACTGGTTGTTGTACCACTGGTTGTGGTTGTTGTACCACTGGGTTGTTGTGTACCACTGGTTGTAGTGTGCCACTGGTGGTTGTTGTACCACTAGTTGTAGTTGTGCCACTGGTTGTTGTACCACCACTGGTTGTAGTTGTGCCACTGGTTGTTGTTACCACTGGTTGTAGTTGTGCCACTGGTTGTTGTGCCACTATTGTAGTTGTGCCAGTTGTACCACTAGTTGTAGTTGTGCCACTGGTTGTAGTTGTACCACTGGTTGTTGTTTGTTGCCACTGGTTGTAGTTGTGCCACTGGTTGTTGTACCACTAGTTGTAGTTGTGCCAATTTGTTGTTGTTCCACTGGTGTACCACTGGTCGTTGTACCACTAGTTGTAGTTGTACCATTTGTAGTTGTGCCACTGGTCGTTGTGCCACTGGTTGTTGTACCACTAGTTGTAGTTGTGCCACTGGTCGTTGTACCACTAGTTGTACTTACCCACTAGTTGTACCACTGGTTGTACTTGTGCCACTTGTTCGTTGTACCACTAGTTTGTTGTGTTGTGGTTGTTGTCCCACTGGTTGTTGTACCACTAGTTGTAGTTGTGCCACTGGTTGTTGTACCACTAGTTGTAGTTGTGCCACTGGTTGTTGTACCACTAGTTGTGTTGTGCCACTGGTTGTTGTACCATTAGCCACTGGTTACCACTGTGCCACTGGTTGTTGTACCACTGGTTGTAGTTGTGCCACTGGTTGTACCAATTAGTTGTAGTTACCCACTGGTTGTTGTACCACTAGTTGTAGTTGTGCCACTGTTGTTGTACCACTGGTTGTAGTTGTGCCACTTTGTACCACTGGTTGTAGTTGTGCCACTGGTTGTTGTACCACTAGTTGTGCCACTGTTGTACCACTATTGTAGTTGTGCCACTGGTAGTTGGTTGTTGTACCACTAGTTGTTGTGCCACTGGTTGTTGTACCACTGGTTGTAGTTGTGCCACTGGTTGTTGTACCACTAGTTGTGTTGTGCCACTGGTCGTTGTACCACTGGTTTGTAGCTGTAGTTGTGCCACTTGTTGTTGTTCCACTGGTTGTAGTTGTGCCACTGGTTGTTGTACCACTGGTTGTAGTTGTGCCACTGGTTGTTGTACCACTAGTTGTGGTTGTGCCACTGGTTGTTGTACCACTAGTTGTAGTTGTGCCACTGGTTGTTGTACCACTAGTTGTAGTTGTGCCACTGGTTGTTGTACCACTAGTTGTAGTTGTGCCACTGGTTGTTGTACCACTAGTTGTAGTTGTGCCACTGGTTGTTGTACCACTAGTTGTTGTACCACTCGTTGTTGTACCACTAGTTGTAGTTGTGCCACTGGTTGTTGTACCACTTGTTGTAGTTGTGCCACTGGTTGTTGTACCACTAGTTGTAGTTGTACCACTGGCCGTTGTACCACTAGTTGTAGTTGTGCCACTGGTTGTTGTACCACTAGTTGTTGTACCACTAGTTGTAGTTGTGCCACTGGTTGTTGTACCACTGGTTGTAGTTGTTCCACTGGTTTTTGTTCCTAAAATGCGCAACCTTATTAGTTGGTGATTATTATTATTCTCTTGCTGCTGTTCTTTCAAGTAAGGTGAGCTTTCTGACAATCACGGAAAGTGTGGAGTTGGTCTTTTTTTAGCTACGTGCTAAAGCGTATATTGCATGTTTTGCACACTTTATTGTGTATCTATGGGAACCATACTTTTTCAATTTGTCCATTCTGAACGGACACTGCAGCAAGTGTAAGCCATCCTACTCTCCATCCAAAACAAACCATTACTAATTCATACCAACCTCCCGTTCCTCCTTCACCCCATCACCTCGCTTCCTACTAAATGCAAGCTAATAAAATTGCAAAACATTGGATTTCTTCTTAATAGTTTCATTTTATTTCAACATTACCTGATGTAGTTCCGGTTGCTGAAAGCAGAATAAATATGCAATAAGCACAATGAATGAGAGAAACAAGAGGTCATTTGAACACTGTTCAACCAATGATGCATTGTACAGCTTATATTACCGATAGAGTTTATCTGTGGACACAATATGTAAAATGATAAATCGGTTATTCATTTCATTGAAACTCTATGCAGTTATTGGCGAAAGGAAATAGTTTGATGGATACAGTAGTCACCTTCATTCAAAATACAATTAAAACAGTGACAGATGCCAATATTTTATAACTGTTTTACACTGCACACTGTTTCTTGTTGTATTATTTTAGAATAGACGGAGACTTATCTATATGTGAACAATAAAGCCTAATACCTTCATTGCATCAACGAATTCTGATAGGCAGCTAAGTGCACAATCTTTCGCACGTAACAAAACCTTGTGTTATATTAGTAGAAGAGAAAACTTACTTTCTTCCTCACAAACACCCACAGTGTCCTCTATGTTGTCGATCACACCGTTGAAGGTAACAACGTAGCCTTTGATCAGCTTGTTAATGGTCACGGAATTCTGAAAAGATGTGATATATGATCATTTCAAACAAACCAATCATACAATTATTACAATGAAACAATATGAAGCTGTAGCTGTAACTACCTCAGACATAACACTTTGGCTGTCACATTCCTGTGGCGAATTCAAAACCAGAAAAAGCTATAAATACAACGATAATCCATAAAGGAGAGACACTTTTCAGAAGTCGGCATGATGTCATCAATTGCTTTCCGACTAACTAATCTCACTAACAACTGTGCACAGCTTTTAAGTATAGCGGATAGGTCGAACGACGGATATTGCTGCTTTCTGCAATAGTTGCAGAAATGTGGTATGCTTCTACGATACTTACTTCAACAAGCTCTGCAAAATATTTCAACGAAGTTGCCTGCTGGAAGTTTCCTTGCACCTTTATCCCATTGACTACGTCTTCTTTATTAAAGAAAGCACATACGACGGTTTCCTTGCTAAATGCGTTTTCTCCCAATTCTTTTGCAATGGGCGTGATTAGTTTATTTGTGCCCACTGAAAATGAAGATCATAAAATGTATTTTATCTGTGTACCTTAAGGTAATTCATAATGCACAATAATGTGCAGCGGGTATTTATACCGCGTGTGTACTGATATCGCATCAGCAAATTATAAAGATATGCCATTCCAATATTTCCCCAAACACAAAGGACATTAGTATTTCGAAGGTAGGAGGCTAATGTTTCCCCGTTTTCACTACTTTTGTTCTTGTTTAGATATAGTAAAAATAATTGTATTTGGTATGTTGTATTACAGTCTCAGTCTCGTGAAGAAAACATTAAATATGTTTAAATTCTCAGTTAGGAATATATGTAAAATGTTACCTTGAGTGAATGTTAGGCCTTTTGCTTCCTCGAGTGACAGAACCGTCACAAGGATTGTCTGTTTATCTTTGGTGGTATCCTCAAACGTCAACTTTCTACTGACACCAGGATCATGCTTAAAGGTAAGGGTGACAGAGTCGTGTTTTGTGGAGTAAGTGATGGAACATAAAACGGAGTAATACAATCAAAAGGAGAACATATATGTGTATGTTTGCTTTTAACGCCCCACTGCGTTATTTTCAGTTTAAAAGACTGTTTTGTGCAATAGCACAGGTATAATGATGACAAGCAAGGAAGAGCATGCTTGCGTTGAGTAACTGACTAATAACGATGACAAGCAAGGGAGAGCATGTTTGCGTTGAGCATCTGGCTGAGTCTGACGGTATATTCACAGTCTATATAGTTTTTTACGTCATTGGGGCTACGGTGTCAATACGATAGGAGATGTAAGGAAGAGATACAAGAAAGGGCCAATTAATACAAAAAAATGAACAAGCTTGGCTTCGTGATACTTTTACGTAGGTGTATATTTTTAGCCGTTAAGTTTGATACTTACCGTCGATGTAATAACTTCAAAGAAGTTGGGTACTGTGCCTGGTGGTGCTCTTGTGTAGTACCTATCCACAAAGGCTGGAGGGCTATATATCGCTTCCAGAACCGTCTTGTTTCCGACGACAAACTTCTGCACCTCGAACGGAGCGTTGTCACTCGTGCCATTCATATTAAATTCCTTGCACCTTTCTACTGTGATGACATAGGTAAAATAGTTGCATGTGATATTCTGTCTCAATGGTGTGTTGTTTTTATTTGTTTATTAGTATAGCATGTACATGTCATGAAAGAAAACCTACGAAACTAAAAAGGCAGTCTGTCATCCAAATACACCCAAAACTAAAAGTGGTGATCCTAGCACTGCAGGCTGGTTAGGCTTATCTAGACAAGGTCCTTTCTTGGTCGTATCATGGATTGGCTTCTGAGTTCAAACGCAAGCATAGCGTAGACGTTAATAAAAGGACCGAGCCATACCACCATGTCGCTTCAGATACTGTGTTTGTGCCAACGCTTGGCATCCACTGATTAGGTGTTGGACAGTCTCGTTAAATTCCATGATTACATTTTATATTTACATTTTGACGCAAAATCACACATTGGCGGTTACACGTGGGAAGTGACTAGCCACTTTTCTGGACAGCTATTAGAGCTCATCATCAGCTCAGGTACCCTTTTCCCCTCTACACGTAGCCAAGAATGGGACTTCTCTGAGATGCGCTGCCTTGTCAAACCCACCCAAAACTTTCCGTGGAATATGCGCCAAGAGATCAGGAGGTACCAAACCAAGGTCACCGAGAACAATGGGGAGTTGCACGACAATGTCTGCATATTTAGCATGCTATTCCGGAATCCTACCATTCACGTTTCTGCCAAAAAGGACAGAACATTCAATGACATAAATGTAATTTTTCAATAAGGAAAATAAAATGCTCCAGCCGTGCATCTCCAGATTCTGTCTAACAACTTTGGCGCACTTAAAATGGCTGTGGAATTCCTTGCTTTCATTCTGATTCTTGACAAGCATCACCAGAGGATCATCCGATAAATAGACATGTACAAAAGTACAAATTAAATTCTATCATGAAAAGCCTCAACATTATCAAACCACTACAACCCCATTTTATTGCAATACATAAACGATTACCAGGGAACCGAAGGTGGTGGGTTCAGGCGGTAAAGACTCTGGATGTGTTGCCATGTGCAATCAACTGCTCCAAAAAGAGTAGGAAAGGACTGGCTAAGCAAATATATTTGTGGCGTTGACCTTATTTTGAGAACGAAGTTCCGAGCTCCAGATGTATACTTACACCCACCCACACAAACATTCCCGACCCTCACCCACCCTTGGAGCTTTCACCTTCATCTTTTATGCTATGGTATTTCACCTGATATCGGTTGGGGTATGGTAGGCTCACCTTTTCGTACCCGTATGGTCACTCTTTGCTGACAAGATTTTGTAGCTCAAATGAGAGCCAAATAATTACTTCTACAATCTGCTTATTTACTCTTTGCAGACCATAAGCTTAATACTTATAATACTTAATACTTATAATGCAAATAGATCACTAATAAGAAAACTTACCTGTTGTTCCACTTGTGGTTGTTGTTCCGGATGTAGTAGTAGTACCACTTGTTGTGGTTGTTCCACTAGTTGTTGTGGTGCCACTAGTGGTTGTTGTACCGCTGGTAGTAGTTGTTCCACTAGTTGTTGTGGTGCCACTAGTTGTTGTTCCAGATGTAGTTGTTCCACTTGTTGTTGTACCTGTTTACACACAAAAAATAAAACATGACACACATCTCTCATAAACCGATAGCTTCAAAGGAATATAAAAATCACCATAAAAAGAACTGGAAAGTATGGTCAGTTTTATAATGACTATATTTTCTGTTGTCCCAGATGTTGTTGTACTTCATGTATAGTTTTTCACATTCGAGCGTTAACATGGAATACAATTATCTAATCATCTTACTAGCCTACACAAACAGAGTCTGCTAACCTGAAAAAGGAGTAGTGTCTAGAGTACACTATATCGCTGAATGAATGAATATATTTTAGCATGGCCTAGTGTATTCAATTATGTCAGATGTTGCTGTTGATGTGTGTGTGGGGATGTGGGGTGTGTGGGTGTGTGGGGGGGCGGTTTGGTTCTGCATCAGAACCAGATTACTCCCGTGAATACCTTAAATGATTTGAAACGTGTCTTTGTTAATGTTTCACTTATGATCGACAACTTTATGTGAAGGGCGTCTGATGCTCACAACTATCTGAATTACATATGCCCTTCCTGTGTCTGTATTTTATCGAAATAAGATAAGACTTTAACCAGTCATCGACTGACTCTTTTTAAGTTTCATCATACAACGTAACAGACTTTTTAGCCCTGAATAACAAACAAACGAACCATAACGCCAATTTAGGATCTAAGTGTACACTCAATGGCATGTCACTCGATGTTTCTGAAGAAATTTGAAATGTAATCCATCTGAGTGACTTCTTTTGAGCACCTCGAATTAATGCCTCTCACAAAAAAAGATTCGCTTCAATCAGATTGATACTTCCACTCGGTCGTAGGAACATAAATTTATGAATTACAGGTATCCTCAAACACTAGGTACATATGTACATCTTACCTGTTGTTTCGTGCTGGCATATGACAATTTCAGTTACACTAGCAGTTGCTGGCACAAGAATGGCTGATACTGGACCATTGACGGGAACCTAAAAATTAAAAAAAACAACTTACAGCTTTCATCAAGACAGTGTATGCATCAACATGAACAATGTAAAGAAAAGTGAAATAAATGAAAACGATAGACACAACGGCCAAGGAATATAAGTGGATATATATCCACTTCCATACATACATATATATATATATATATATATATATATATATATATATACATACAGGCACGTGTGTGTGTCTATGTGTGTGTGTGTGGTTCTCTTTCTCTCTCTCTCTCTCTGTGCATGTGTGTGTGTGTCTGTGTCTGTGCGACTTGATCAAATACTTACTTCATAAAGAGAAGAATCACTTGGGTCGACAGTGCCCACAATCTTTTGGAAGACTTCAGGTTTGTCTTTTCCAGCTGGAGTGGTTACTGTCACTGGATTTGTACTTGGTGTAACTGGCACAGTAGTGAGATACACGTTTTTAACGGTGCCTGGGGTACTGCTAGAGGTATCAACTGGTGTCCCATTGACTGTGTAGCCATCAGGTATCTCTTTAGTCACCAAGATAATCTCATCAGTCGAAGATTTGACAGGGAACTCAGTCACCTAAAGAGTTCAAACAAATATTTATTACCTTCACTTGAACATCGTTTCTTCAGTACAATCAAATGGTAAGGAACAAATCTTCATTGTGGTTATATTTTCTTCAGTTGAGTATTTGCATACATACAATTTAAACTGCTCATCACTGTAGGATATTCAATATCATTCATTCCATGAGTTTTTATTCATATCGAAAATGTTTTGCACGTTGATTATTCATTCAGCACAGATTTTCTTTAGACATACCTGAGGGTTGGTGGTTTCCTCAGAGGGCACAGAAGTGAAGATCGTTTCCGATGTGACCTTTACTGAGTCAACAAAGGGTGTCTCATCCAAAGGTATTTCCGACAGAGGGTCGCCGGCTTCATTTCCGACTGCGGATGGTGTTGGTGGTGGTGATGGGTTCTCACTTGTGTTCATCAGATCAAGCTTGTCACATGGAGTCGTTCCTGTAATGATGTCATATAACAAGGGTCATAACTTCTTCTAGTAGTATTGGTTAAAGCAGGTTGTAGGTCTTCATTTTATAAAGAAAAAGCCAAATCTAAGTACATCGAGATATGACAAGTACATATACATAACAACATAACAGCGATATAGCAACAGTGCATATTTGAGCTGAGAATAGAGGTATATTTGTTTTTAGCCATTAACAAAGAGAAACCGAGGCAAAAATGTCGAGATCAATAAGCATTGTAGTACAAAGATATTGTAAATTGCACAAAATAAACATTCTATTATTGAGCCAAAACATATACCAGCGATGTGATTTCTTTAACCCGTTGTGGATGTGTTTGTGCCGGATGTGGTTGTACCAGATGTGGTTGTTCCAGATGTGGTTGTTGCAGATCACTAATAAGAAAACTTACCTGTTGTTCCACTTGTGGTTGTTGTTCCGGATGTAGTAGTAGTACCACTTGTTGTGGTTGTTCCACTAGTTGTTGTGGTGCCACTACTGGTTGTTGTACCGCTGGTAGTAGTTGTTCCACTAGTTGTTGTGGTGCCACTAGTTGTCGTTCCAGATGTTGTTGTTCCACTAGTTGTTGTTCCAGAGGTAGTTGTTCCACTCGTTGTTGTACCTGTTTACACAAAAAAAATAAAACATGACACACACGTGCCCTGAAGAAACCGATAGCTTCAAAGGAATATAAAAATCACCATAAAAAGAACGGGAAAGTATGGTCAGTTTTATAATGACTATATTTTCTGTTGTCCCAGATGTTATTGTACTTCATGTATAGTTTTTCACATTCGAGCGTTAACATGGAATACAAATATCTAACCATATTACTAGCCTACACAAACAGAGTCTGCTAACCTGAAAAAGGAGTAGTGTCTAGAGTACATTATATCGCTGAATGAATGAATATATTTTAGCATGGCCTAGTGTACTGAATTATGTCAGATGTTGCTGTTGATGTGTGTGGGTGTGGGTCCACATCAGAAGCAGATTGCTCCCGTGAATACCTTAAATGATTTGAAACGTGTCTTTGTTAATGTTTCACTTATGATCGACAACTTTATGTGAAGGGCGTCTGATACTCACAACTATCTGAATTACATGTGCCCTTCCTGTGTCTGTATTTTCTCAAAATAAGATAAGACTTTAACCAATCGTCGACTGACACTTTTTTGAGTTTCATCATATAACGTAACATACTTTTTAGTCCTGAATAACAAACAAACGAACCATAACGCCAAGTTAGTGTCCAAGTGTACACTCAATGGCATGTCACTTAATGTTTCTGAAGAAATTTGAAATGTAATCCATCTGAGTGACTTCTTTTGAGCACCTCGAATTAATGCCTCTCACAAAAAAGGATTCGCTTCAATCAGATTGATGCTTCCACTCGGTCGTAGAAACATAAATTTATCAATTACAGGTATCCTCAAACACTAGGTACATATGTACATCTTACCTGTTGTTTCGTGCTGGCATATGACAATTTCAGTTACACTAGCAGTTGCTGGCACAAGAATGGCTGATACTGGACCATTGACGGGAACCTAAAAATTAAAAAAACAACTTACAGCTTTCATCAAGACAGTGTATGCATCAACATGAACAATGTAAAGAAAAGTGAAATAAATGAAAACGATAGACACAACGGCCAAGGAATATAAGTGGATATATATCCACTTCCATACATATATATATATATATATATATATATACATACAGGCACGTGTGTGTGTCTATGTGTGTGTGTGGGTGTGGTTCTCTTTCTCTCTCTCTCTCTCTGTGCATGTGTGTGTGTGTCTGTGTCTGTGCGACTTGATCAAATACTTACTTCATAAAGAGAAGAATCACTTGGGTCGACAGTGCCCACAATCTTTTGGAAGACTTCAGGTTTGTCTTTTCCAGCTGGAGTGGTTACTGTCACTGGATTTGTACTTGGTGTAACTGGCACAGTAGTGAGATACACGTTTTTAATGGTGCCTGGGGTACTGCTAGAGGTATCAACTGGTGTCCCATTGACTGTGTAGCCATCAGGTATCTCTTTAGTCACCAAGATAATCTCATCAGTCGAAGATTTGACAGGGAACTCAGTCACCTAAAGAGTTCAAACAAATATTTATTACCTTCACTTGAACATCGTTTCTTCAGTACAATCAAATGGTAAGGAACAAATCTTCATTGTGGTTATATTTTCTTCAGTTGAGTATTTGCATACATACAATTTAAACTGCTCATCACTGTAGGATATTCAATATCATTCATTCCATGAGTTTTTATTCATATCGAAAATGTTTTGCACGTTGATTATTCATTCAGCACAGATTTTCTTTAGACATACCTGAGGGTTGGTGGTTTCCTCAGAGGGCACAGAAGTGAAGATCGTTTCCGATGTGACCTTTACTGAGTCAACAAAGGGTGTCTCATCCAAAGGTATTTCCGACAGAGGGTCGCCGGCTTCATTTCCGACTGCGGATGGTGTTGGTGGTGGTGATGGGTTCTCACTTGTGTTCATCAGATCAAGCTTGTCACATGGAGTCGTTCCTGTAATGATGTCATATAACAAGGGTCATAACTTCTTCTAGTAGTATTGGTTAAAGCAGGTTGTAGGTCTTCATTTTATAAAGAAAAAGCCAAATCTAAGTACATCGAGATATGACAAGTACATATACATAACAACATAACAGCGATATAGCAACAGTGCATATTTGAGCTGAGAATAGAGGTATATTTGTTTTTAGCCATTAACAAAGAGAAACCGAGGCAAAAATGTCGAGATCAATAAGCATTGTAGTACAAAGATATTGTAAATTGCACAAAATAAACATTCTATTATTGAGCCAAAACATATACCAGCGATGTGATTTCTTTAACCCGTTGTGGATGTGTTTGTGCCGGATGTGGTTGTACCAGATGTGGTTGTTCCAGATGTGGTTGTTGCAGATCACTAATAAGAAAACTTACCTGTTGTTCCACTTGTGGTTGTTGTTCCGGATGTAGTAGTAGTACCACTTGTTGTGGTTGTTCCACTAGTTGTTGTGGTGCCACTACTGGTTGTTGTACCGCTGGTAGTAGTTGTTCCACTAGTTGTTGTGGTGCCACTAGTTGTCGTTCCAGATGTTGTTGTTCCACTAGTTGTTGTTCCAGAGGTAGTTGTTCCACTCGTTGTTGTACCTGTTTACACAAAAAAAATAAAACATGACACACACGTGCCCTGAAGAAACCGATAGCTTCAAAGGAATATAAAAATCACCATAAAAAGAACGGGAAAGTATGGTCAGTTTTATAATGACTATATTTTCTGTTGTCCCAGATGTTATTGTACTTCATGTATAGTTTTTCACATTCGAGCGTTAACATGGAATACAAATATCTAACCATATTACTAGCCTACACAAACAGAGTCTGCTAACCTGAAAAAGGAGTAGTGTCTA